TAATGTAACAAGTTCTAATGCTGATTAATGTACATGTGTCCGGTCCTCTTATAATGGATTTGATTAGACAGACATTCATTCATTCTTTCATTTTAGTATTTTTTCTTTCTTATGTAAACATACAAGATTCCTTTGTCATGATGTAATGTCTTCCCTAATATTTTGAAGCACCTTGAGCATTTAATTAGAATGGATAATAGTGCTATATAAATCTCATGTATTATTATTAAATGCTTCCAAATAAGATGTTATATTTACTAAATTTATGCAATGATACTCTCTAACCTCCATAGAATTTATTCAAATGAACCAATGATTGGCTGAATAATGGCAAACAAAATGACAATGTGCTTAAAATGCTTCTTCATATTTGATATATTTACTATTGCTCGGTTCAAGCCTGCTTGTATATGGTACTGTTTGCAAAATTTCCTTTCCCACTGGAAACTCGTAGTCTGCCTACTTCTAATGGGAACTTTAACCTTCAGCACTTTATTATTCACTGTGCACGCTGAAATAGTCAAGATAATATGAATCATCTCAAATGCTTCTTCTGGGATTTTTAAGTGTTATTTCAATTTAAAAAAAAATCAAATTACTCTTCCACAGCTTCTTAATATGTTATTTCATTGTTTTAAACATTTGATTTATTTTCTTTTTGTTAATTAACTAGGAAACATTTCCTTAATTTCAATCTAAATGTTAACCAACTTCTCTGGATCATAGCAAAGTCAAAATATTGTGATTCTAGTTCTTTAGATGGGTGGATGGAACTGCATGTAGACGTACATGTATTGAGCAAATCAACAGAACATCTTGAACAGGAGAGATGGCGAGTTGCCAAAGACATTATCTTGTTATCTCTCTATGCATCCCTTCCTTTCTTCGTTCACTTTGATGTTATTAACCCAGAGGGGAAAGCATCTTCTTCAGTGGTTTAAAATATAATACAATCATGCTCATAAACAATTGGATGAACGTAGAGACTGAGCTGTGTCCATCTCTCTCTCCCTCTGTTTCTCACTTTCTCTCTCATTTCCTTTCTACCCTTTATTCTCCCTTTCTTTCCTATACTTTCTTTCCTTTGATCTTGATCATTTCCTTTCTTTCCTTCTGTTTTTCTTTTTCTTTCTATCTCTCTCTCTCTCTCATTTTTTCTTTCTTTCCTTCAATTTTGATCATTTCCCTTCTGTCCTTTATTCTCCTTTTCTTCCCTTCTTTTTGTTTTCTTCTCTCTTCCTAAATCTGAAATTATTTTCATTCTTTTCTTTTCTTTTTTACTTTTTTTTTTTTTTTTTTTTTTTACTTGATACCTCTCTATGCTTCCCTCAATCTTGAGTTTTTCTCTTTCTTCCTTAATAATAATATTTAATTTTTATATAGCGCTTAATACAAATGTCTCTAAGCGCTTTACAAATATACTATTACCCCGGTCTTACTTTCCCCACCCTTTTTTTCTTCTCAATCACTATTTCTATCTTCGCATCATTCACATAATAACCAATATTAAGCTGCTTGAGCACTTTCTAAATCAGCAAGGAGCCGACATCTGTTGATGAAATTTTTAAAATCAAATCTGCAACAATCCTGTGCAGAAATAGCATGCTTTTATAACATTTGGATGTATTTCCTTCAATAAATTGCAAAATGCATCAGAATATGATTCTCCATATTAAAGTTGTTTGTTTCAGGTGCCTCAAAACTCCCGCTTTCCCTCCTCCCCCCCCCCCCTCTCTCTCTCTCTCTCTCTCTCTGCAACACGTTGTGCCTAAATGCTTATCTCACACCTACATGTATATGTATGTCTATTCGCCTCTTGATTGGCTATCATTTTTTTTCAATTCCTTGCTGATTTTCTTGGGTTATGAATTTATTTACTTTCCTTCAATTAAAATCTTTGTTTATTTTCACTCTCTATATCTTGGTCTCTTTCTCTTCCACCTCTTTTTCTTTCCTTTTTTGTTCCCCTCCAAATATCTAACTCTCTCTCTTTCTCTCTCTCTCTCTTACTCTTGTGTCTCTCCCCCCTTCTTTCTCACATGTGTCTCTATGCATCACTTGCTTCCACGTATCTTCTTTTCTCCCACTTTCAATCCCCCTAGATATATTCTCTATATTTCCTCTCCCCCCCCCCCCTTCCCCTCTTTCTCTCTCTCCTCTCTCTCTCTCTCTCTCTCTCTCTCTCTCTCTCTCTCTCTCTCTCTCCTTGCTCTAGCTTGCATTCCCAAGTCAATGCCTCCCATCTACCTCCACATTCCTGCCGCTAACCTCCGTAATCAAGCCGGAGCCCCCAATCTTCTGAAGATACTTCGCAAATCAATCAGAGAGAAATATGATGGAAGCAGGATAAGCTCTTTATCATCACTGCTTTCAATGCAGGCCAATTACTTTACCGTGCACCCTCCCCCCTCCAGCTGCTCAGCCCAGCACGGCAAAGCAACAAACAGGGTTTTCTGCAACTAAATCAGATTACGCGGATAAGGCCCTAATGTGAAAGTTCAACGCCAAAAAGGCTTCTGATTTTCATGTGGATGGCACAGGAAGGGAGAAAGGCAGCTGTATATACATCAAGAAAAGGCATCTTGTTCTTCCGCTCAGATGGTAGACCTATTTTCATCTTAAGGTTTTACCTCAAAGAAGTTTGAGCATAGGGATTCATACTGCATGTAAACTCTCATCTGCCTCGAAACTTTACCCCATGTACAGATATAGAAAATATAACCTTTAAATTCCATTAATATGGATTTCTGTCAATAAGATGTTCAACAATAAATGTACCAAAAGTAGGAAAAAACATACAAAAGAAAAAAAATAACAAACAGAAATCACCAAAAGGCAAATGAAAGGAGTGAGGAAAATCTGACATGCAAAATGGAAAATTATCTCCTGCCAAACTCCAATGTCTACAGCAGAAAACAATAACAACAATGTGATTTGACATTAAAAGTGAACTATTCAAATGCTGTATTATGTTAGTAAATACACAGATACAACAAAAAATCCAAGAGAGTGAAAAAATATTAATAGGATATTCAAACAGGTTTTCAAATGGGATCCTGATATACAATACAAGAATACAATCGAAAATTGAACAATGTAACGTGATGAACTGAAAACTCAACTTGAAAACCAGAGGCAAAGCAAATTTCATTAGGCTTCCAAAGGCGGCAGAGAATCAACACCATGAAGTGAACTACTGCAACAGAACAATGCTGTAAAATCTGTAAGTCAAAGCATCATTCAATGATTCAAAAAACTTTGGTTAGAGTTCAAAGTTCCAACTGGAACTCAAGTGAAACTTGGGTTAGAGATCAAAGGTCCAACTGGAACTCAAGTGAAACTTGGGTTAGAGTTCAAAGGTCCAACTGGAACTCAAGTGAAACTTGGGTTAGAGATCAAAGGTCCAACTGGAACTCAAGTGAAACTTGGGTTAGAGTTCAAAGTTCCAACTGGAACTCAAGTGAAACTTGGGTTAGAGATCAAAGGTCCAACTGGAACTCAAGTGAAACTTGGGTTAGAGTTCAAAGGTCCAACTGGAACTCAAGTGAACAGGAGAACTGAATCAACATCAGTAACTGAACCAAGAACCATCCACCTACATGTTTCTAGGAGACTTGGACCTTTAGGCACTGGGGGCGGTAGAGGGACCTGATGAATCTCGACATTAGATGCGTTCCAGTCCAGCCGGAAGGTGGAACCCTTGGTACTCAGCAACCTGTCTGCATCGTCTGTCCCCAGAAGCGCCTTGGAGCTCTGGGGCACCTTGGTGGAGCTGTTGCTGTTGTGAGGATCAAGGACACGGGGCCCATAATTGCTACCAGAGGGCTGAGGATCAGCACTCTTGATTTTGATGGCAGGGGTCGTTGCAAAGGAGTGCTGCGAGGAGGATGCAGCATGAATGGTAGGGGAGGCCAGGGATAGTGGGGTGTCCCTAGGCAGCGACCTGATGCCTGCACGGAAGGTGGTGTGCAGGAGGTGCCCACTGGGCGAAAGGTAGCACTCACAAGGAATAACATTACTGCAGTTATCAAGCAAAAGACACTGGGAAAGACTTGGCGTGGTCAGTATGACCTTAGGAAAAGGCCTCTTGGTACCAGGTGGACAGGCAGAATAGTGATGATGACGATGAGGATCTGTAGAGTCCAAGTCTTCCGAAGCCTTCCTGTGACAGCATTCGCACAGGACACCCTTGGAACGGCTTTCATCCTCCGCACGACTGACTGAAGGCTTCGAGGTCAGCACTTCCAAGGAATCGGATGGTACGCCAAGAGTGGTGGTACTAGAATGAGGGCAGCTGTCAGAGCTACAGATTGACTTGGCGCAGATAATGGAGCTACTGGAACTCCCCGAGATCAGCGCTTCCAAGGAATCGGATGGTACGCCAAGAGTGGTGGTACTAGAATGAGGGCAGCTGTCAGAGCTACAGATTGACTTGGCGCAGATAATGGAGCTACTGGAACTCCCCGAGGACGTGGTGACCTTGAAGAGAGGGTACCTATTAGCATGTAATGACATGCCGCTTCCCAGCCCAAGCTCTGTCAGCGCCTGCAGAGTCTCCTTCTCCATACTGTCCAAGAGAACCTTTCGGCTCCCTGCACTGCTGGAGCTACACGACCCCACCCCGCTGCCCCGACTGCCAGTTCTGCTGCTCGAGGAACTCTCTGAACCCTCCGACAACCCCTCCTCAACAATTCCCTCACTCGTTGCCATCGACCTCTCACGATGCAAGAACACATCCACACTCTCAACCTCTCTTTCCGACATATCACTCCACCCTCTCACACGGCCAAAGGAATCACAACTCTCTAGAGTCTCTAAGCCTACGTCCAACTCTGTCCCGTCTACAGACTCCTGGACAGTGAAATGGGGAGTCTTTGGCCTGGGACCAGCCTTGGGGGTGGTGTCTAAGCTATGGGGGGCAAGCAGATTGATCTTGGCATGCAAGGTGGCTAAGGCTAGGGGCATCTGGGACCACAGTACAGCATCATCTTTGAACTTACCGAGGTGAGTGAATAGATTCTTGGCTACTTGAAGCATGCACTGTAGGAATGAGAAAAAACACGAGAAAAGATATGTTCAAAATGTTATTCCTGTCTTTGAAGTTGTTTCTAGGTCTCACTAATCTTTAAAAGAATGATATCAAATAATTCCAAGAAAAAACTCTAGGAAAATACCTGGTTGAATTGCAAAAACAAAATCCTGCTTGAATTATGTTTGGAAAATCTGCAACATATATCAATTCTAATAGGCAATAGTGGATAATCCCCTCACATAATTTCTTCTTAAAGGGATTGAGTATCTTTGTCTCAGATTCTGAAACAAAATCCTGGATAATTTAGCTCATGCTGCAATCATAATTATAAACATTTAGGTCAGTCAGGAATCCCGTTTCTTTTACAAGCAGATCGCCTGTCTGATTATCAAGGTATTTATGATTGGAAAATCGAAATTTCAAAAGCCGTTTTCCTAATAGTTTTATATAACACTACAGTGTATTGGGGGAAATGAGTATGGTAAAACTGGTCACTCAAAGATTTTTACTTTTTTGAGGCACTTCATGATCATTTTGAAGCGCAATTTTTTAAGGGCTTCAATTTTAGACCATATCACAGACACTGATAACACGTAGGGTCGTGCATCTCAGATTTAACATTGTCAAATGATGCCTTTAACTGCATAAAGACAGTAGGGACATTACAATTATTACATACTTTCATAGTATCAAAACTAAATAGTGGCTTATTAGAAGGGAGTTATCACCTGTGTTTCATGTTTTAGCTGCGTCTCTTTCTGCAGTGCTAATGTACTGGTCAGGACTGGTACTGTGTATTTGAAGCAGTGTTTGATCACATCGACGTCTGCATTTGTGTATCTAAATAAGGAAACAAAATCAAATATTTAAATCAATCCAAAAGAACTGTGAAGAGTGAGAGATCAAGCGAGAAACAGCATAAATATGAAGAATATCACATGAAAGTTGTACTTTCGACTAAATGCAACAATAAAGCAGACAATTCTCAAAGTAATTCAATCATCAAATCCTCTTCAACTCAACTGATATATAAATAGCTGGCACTATTCTACATAAATGAATATGATTGATCTATCTATAAATATTCACATATAAATTGACTGTAATCTCTCTGTGCATTTAAACATTCATTGGTATATTGTGGCTGTAGAATTGCCTGTTTTGAAGAATATTGATAAAATGATCCATAAATCTTTAAATTCTATCAATTGTATTGATATGAGTACATTATTTATGATGATATTCAAGAAAGCAATCACTACATTCAACCAAAAAAAATGATTCATTTATCACTAGTGTATGTATTCAGATCGTGCAACTGATTTCTCTATGCTATTAAGCATTCAATGCACAAGCATTTCTCACTAGAAACATTATCGAAAATTACATTAATAAGAGCAATTGCTCCAAGTTACCTTTCCCTCCTATACCTAAGTTATCTTGTTAAGCTACATGTATATGCAGTTAATGTGCTCAGAGAAAGAGTTACACACCCTGGGGGCATGTAATCCAGCAAATTGCAGGTACTAACGGATTGGTACAGATATGTCTTCCATTCCGTCTCTCTGAACGGTTTCTACGACGACGACGATAGAGGCCTATCTTTCGTCTCCTCTCTGATTGACATTTTATCAGTCAAATCTAATTCATTGCTTTCTGTCGGGCCAACTTAGCGTCAATTACGGGCTCTGTATAGAAGCCTTTAACCCAATGTAGGGATGTTAATTTGGGGTGATACCGATGCCCTCCGGCGCAGAAGGGGGGTAATTTGGCGCCCCTGGGCATGAATTACAATGGTTGCATTCACTGCAATGGTGAATGAATGAAAGATGCAAGCATCTAAATTCTTATAAATGTTGTTCTGCGCTAGCAATAAAACTCAATAAATTGGCCTAGATATATTCTCAAATTTCATAATCAATTTTTCTTTTTCCGTTTCTCTTCAGAAATGAAAAAATATGCATATGAAAAAGCAGGAGATATAATTGTAAAATGGCTGTAAATTAAACAAAAATATTTAAAAACTGTGTCAACTGATTAAACAATAGAAGAAAAAACAATTTTCCACAAATTCAAATTGCAAAAAATAAAATAAACACTAACAAAAATTTATGAATCCTTGAAAAAAAAGATAAATACGCAGTTGGTCTACTCCATACCTATATATATATATATATATATATATATATCAGAATTAATACATAAATGTCGTGATTGCATAATTAATGCAGCAATGTAACAGTTTGGGAAGAAAGAAATGTAATGGCTCTTCCCCTATATCTGGGATTTGTGGTATATTCCATCTACTATGAACCTGTTTCTCAAACTGTGCGACTACTGCATTTACAACAACAAGAAAACACAGAAGATTGCCAACTGTCAACTTAAAACAAAAATGTAGAAATTGTGAAGATAATGTGAATAATGATCTCTAAAGAGAAGGCCACCCTACATTGTAGATGGAGATAAAGAAAGTGTGACGTCATAAATTGCAGCAATTTGTGGTTGCCACGGTTACTGCCTGTTTGTATGAAACAAATGAATCTTTACCCTTAGTGTTTGATAATATTTTGATCTTTTTAGTACAGTCAGCGGCTCATGCAAATATATAATTTGCTATAGTACAAAGTGCACAAGCTCCATGCATTCATAACACGCTCAATGTCGGGGGGGGGGGGGGGGGGGGGTCTTTCTCCGAGAATAACATTTGGCTGGTTAGATCATTATCACAAAGTGAAGAGAAAGGTGCATTTTGCATAGAAATTATGTCATGCTGCAAACTTTAGAACTCTTCCTAAATCATTGTATCTATGAGAAGAAATCTAAATATAACTTTGTATATTATCTAAATTTCCAAGTGGAAATATAGATCATCAATTCCTTGACTGCATGCCCTTGTATGTCACATACATCAAACGCATGGAGCAAACAATCTTCAATAAAAATATTATGCATTGCTGTTTAGTATCCCAATATATATATATATAGGGAATGAAAATACCCTGCAGCAAACAGCTCAATTGCATCACGACGTCAAAGTCAAAAGCCTTTTTTTATCATTATTTTAAAAGAAAGAAATAGGAGGCGAGCACGCAGGAATAGAGCAGCAAAAACAATCTGTTCCGAGCTGGCTGCGCAAGTCCCAGGGATGCCGCATGGCGGATTGACGATGCGAGGAGCAGATATTTATCGGCGATCAAATTAATTGGATGCATGAGGGGACAGAACATGCTAAATTGGCCCCGATGATTATCAGTCTACCCGTCTCCGATTTCGTTTTTGATGAGTGAAAGCAACACCCCTCGCTGTGTTAGCGTAATAAATGAGCTCCCACCGTGACATTTAGACAAACATGGTCCTCCTACAAGGCAAGGCAAGGCTAGCCTTGTCACAATCACGGTGTCTATCCGTCTTCTTCTCCTTCTTTCATGTCCGGACAACGGAACATGATGAGATGGAGAGTAAATGTTTCCAGATGCCTTTGGAGATTGGGAGGATTCCTTACAATAATTAACTGAGGAAGAATGTTGCGAGGAAAGTTGGATAGCCTATGTAGAACAACATGTATCACAGGCTACGTAAAACTATCACAGAACACACCATAGAAAAATGGGAGTAGACATATACACATGTAGATGGTTCCTATACATGAGCATTTGAAAAAATGAAATATAACGCTCCATATTGAATCTTTGAATCAAAATTCTATGTTGTTTTTTTTACTGTTTTGGAATACATGAAAAAAAGAGATATACGTTTCAAGGCTAGTGTGGACTATTCTGTCACTTATCCTTTAATGGGATGTTCTTAATACCGTTGTCCTGGCAATACAAACTAAAATATCTACTAACTTGAGAGCATCGTGTAAGTGTGCAAAATAGTCAATATTCTGTATGCAAGATGTACACCTTAATTAAAAGATAGAGGGCACACTAACATACCACATCAATTGAATCAGGAGGAGAGACCCAAGGGTTACAGTGATTCAGTTTGCTTTACCCCTCCCAAGCACAGGTGATGCCAAATACTTAAGGACAATAATGATGATGATAATCATAAACATAATCATAATGACGATGATGACGGCGTCAACGACGACGATGATGTTAATAAAAATAATGAAAGGAGGACAGTGAATTTAGACAATTGACATTTAGATGATGACTTGTTGAAATCCTTACAAAAACTAGTGACCCTGTTTCTGTTTTATTTACCAACTGATCGTTAAGGTGTGGACAAAATTGATGACGATAATAATAATAATGGGGGGGGGGGGTGGTACTCACTTCTTTGCACCTCGTTTATTGATTGCACATGCCACGCCCACCACTTTGGAGGTAGCTTGGTTGATGATGGGTACGGCCAGCAAGGACTTGATCTCAAGTTTCAGTTTGTTGTTCAGGTCACCCAGCTCACACTGTGAAGGAAGTAATAACAATAATGATTATCATACATAATGTCATACACTTCAAGCCATTCAGAGGTATAATGTGGTTTGTTGATGATAGGTATACAGATAGTATGGACTTGATCTCAAGTTTCAGTTTGTTGTTCAGGTCACCCAGCTCACACTATGAAGGAAGTAATAACAACAGTGATTGTCATACATGTATTTGTGTTGTCCAATTCAAGCCTTTCAGAGGTATAGTGTAGCTTGGTTGATGATAGGTACAGAGAGCATAGACTTGATCTTAACTTTAAACTTGGCGTTCAGGTCATCCAGCTCACTCTAGACAGGAAGTCACAGTAAATATGACAATTATATTTATGTCATTCACAGTGTTGTTTGGTTGATGGTAGATAGAGATAGCATGGACTTGATCTCAACTTTTCAGCTTGGTCTCAAAGCCCTCCCGCTCCCTATTATTGCTTCGTTTCGTATCATTTCGTATCGTTTTGTAGCATTTCATTTCCTTTCCTTTTGGAGGTAGCTTGGTTGAAGGTACTACTAGTATGGAAAAAATCCCTTGAACTAAATTTTCAAGTCCTCCAGGTCACTCTACATCAGAAATAACGTATCTTTTCGTTAATCTAATACCAATCATGATGGCTCACAAGCTTTGGAACCTATCGTGTCTATGGTTACATCCATATACATCTGGAAAGTTGGCTACTCCTGTCCTTCTCTGAAAGCCGGAATAGCCATATATCTGCAAATAATGTTGAGAGGTAGAGACCCCATGTTTCTCAGCAGATCTGAATTCACCTTTAATGATGATCATCTATATCAAACGCTTAGAGTCAACTTGTTTTTCCAAGCACTTAATCATTTGTTTATGCATAGTTCAAGCACTACTTAAAAATAATGACTACTACTCTAAACTAGTATCACGCTGCACATAAACATGTGTCATCCTAGGTATGTTCTATCCAATTTAAAACCGATCACGGATGATTTCCAGGAAGAGCTTGAAAGAAAAACACTACTCAACGCTTGAAGCTTTCATTTATTAGAGGTGGAGTGTTGCATTCTCTCAAAAGGGTTTTTGTAATGATCCAAGCTTTTCTTGGAATTGCAATTTCTTCCGATGTCTTGTTTCTACTAGGGAAGAAAATGCATAGCTTCTAGTCTGACACCAAAACCTTTATTTGCCATGAAAACAGTATGAGACAATCTGTTGGGATGCAGTGATATATTTTTAAGATTGTCTTAGTGCTGTTTCCAATTTTAGCCCTTCTTTTTAAAACAAAAATATTGCAGAATGTTATGCTTCTTCTGACATAAGCCCTTCCCAAGAGCCAAAATGTTGGCAACTGTCTGAATGTAAAGTTTGCCTCTCCGACTTATCAAAGCTCCTCTAAAGTGTTGGGAGCCCCATAAATTTGATGGCAAAATTTCACTTAAATTGTATCATAATGTGAAAGAGGATGTCATTTAAGACACATTTCTGCAAGGATTTTCAAAACAGCTGTGTCTGATGTCTAATATTGATCACAGAATACAAAATTGAGGTTTTCTGTGTGTAACCCAAAACCCAAATTATGTATTCTTTTATCAATATTTGTCTTCAAAACCTTTTTTTTGGGGGGGGGGGGGGGGGGGGAGGGGGGGGGGATTCCTTGCAGACGTGTCTTTAAAGACATGTATCCTCTTTCACATTATGTTACAATTTAAGTGAAAATTGGCCATCAAATTTTTGGTAAAGTTGGGGCTCCCAACACAATAGAGGGGCTTCAAAGCAATGGTTTAAACAGACCTTAATTAAGCTGAGATTGGCACAGTGATTTGGTGGACCCATAGGCAAGGACTGACACTCGATCTTATCAAGCCACACCACCCCCTCTCCCTGACCCAATTTTCCCTTCAGCCTAGTTTCATGTTTAACCTTAATCTAAGTCATTTTATTAGAGACCAATTCTCTTCTACACAACCCAACCACGGAGCAAACAAAGCATTTCACACTTTCCCAGTTTACCCCTTTTCAAAGTTGTGGATTTCTCTCGTGTCTAATGATTGGTTCTTTGAAAGAATTGACCCAAATAGAATTTTGTCATGATCGTCTCAGATTGTCAATATTATAATCATCTGTTTGGGGCAAGAAGGGCACTAACTCATATACTTTAACACAGAGATAACACCCTCCTGGCTCCAAACAGCCAACATGTTAGAATAATGTCTATACAACAGTAACTCTAAGCCATTCTATGCAATTCAACCATATGGTGAAAAAAAAGCCATGCATACATCCTTCATTAATCAGATAACTGATATTTTAAATGTATAATAAGAACCACAAGGTCTTTATCAAATAACATTTCACACCGGGTTGATGCCCTTCTGGCTTTCTACAGATGATAATTGTATTCAACTAAATTAATTGGAATTTATTCATTTTCATTTATATTTCAGAGTTCATTAGCAATGTGGGATGAGAATTCACAAAGCAATTACATGAAGGTGTACAGAGTAGTCAGGCTAGCCTTGAATAAGCCCCTGAGCTATAATGACAAAATCATTGAATGTAAACGTGTATGTAACCGCTGGCCTATCCCTTTGTATTGTATAATGCAATAGGTAATTGATCTAATGGATAGCCATTAACGTTACATGTAACACATACCACTTGACATACAAGTAATGTGTGTCTTGCTCTCCACCGAAGATATGTTCATATTTTCATGAGAAAGCATTAATGTGTTTCGATCTCTTTATAGTGGTGGGGGTGTCGACTACTATGCATTAGTTCAACAGAAATGAAGCCTGAAGAATGATCACCATATCTCTCTCTCCTCCTTTCCTACCCCCCCCCCCCCCCTCTCTCTCTCTTTATATATATATATATATATATGTATCTCTTTCTATCTATCTCTCTCTCCCTCAGTCTCCCTTACATCTTATTCACACTCCACTGACAATATGTTCATATCTTCATGAGAAAGTATTTCATAGCTCTCCATACCGGTGGGTGTCAACTACATTGAACCATGCATTGGTTCAAAGGAAATAAAGCCTGAAGAATGATCAGCATCTATTTCTCCTCCATTCCCATCCCCTCTCTCTGTCTCTCTGTCTCTCTGTCTCTCTCTCTCTCCCTCAGTCTCCCTTACATCACAGCTTTCTCTCATCATGTCTCTCTTTCCATCCACTTCCTTTCACCCTCAATGTCACATCTATATCTTTCCTACCACCCCCTCTCTCTCTCTCTTCTGATCCTGTTCTTTCTCACTCTTTCTTCCATCCTCTCTTCCTATCTGCCCTCTCTATACTTTATTCCTATCATCCTCTTTTTTCTTGTCTCTTCTTATTTTTTTTTCCAATTACATTCTCTTCTTCTCTTTCCTATCACGCCCCCTCTGTCTGTCTGTCTGTCTGTCTCTCACTCTCATCACCTCCCTCTTCATCTCATTCCATGATAACAAAACTAACATTTCGTCCTTGTTTTCACGAAGTGACGGTAGTGAGGAAAATCGTAACGCAAAGTGAATGCAATTTTTTTTCACTACCGTCACTTTGTGAAAACAGCGACGATTTAAGTAGACATTGCCAAGGTCTACTGCTGACACCCCTACCTCTCTATTGCTTCCTGAGTATATATATACACATACACATTTTACAATCGACCTCTATCAAGGTCTCTTTTGGGTATACCATTGGCTTCTCACAGGAAATTAACAATACACTGACACACATAGATCTTAAAGCCTTCTTGCTGGCAGTCAATGATACACTCAACAAATAAATCAATTATTTTACAATGAAACCATACAGTGCTAGTGGTTATGAAAGGAGGAAATTACTTATTATATGTCTTTTGTATATGAAAAATACCAATCAGCTAAGTCAAACAATCAAGCAAATGTAAAGAAAACAGATATATTCTGGCCAAAAAAGTAAGCAATTTCCTTTTTGGAGGTGCCAATGTGATTTATAAAGTGTCTGTTGACACCATGAATGCACTTGTTTTCTTTCAATTAAGTGTATTATCCATGCTTTTGAGTGAATAATGACAGAGGACATATTTTGTATACAATTGTCTTGAAATGCATGAAAGATAAATTTGCGTTTGAGCTATAAAAGATTATTATTCAGCTTGATAAAAGAGAAACTGAGCATTCATTTTGACAGAATTTCTTTGAGCTTTGTCATTGGCTTGGTCTTGTTGTCTATGACATTAGATTTTTAAATGTCACGGCCTAAAATGTTTAAAAGTTTTGTTTTTTTTAAACTTTGTGGGTCTCCTCAGAAATAACAGAATCATCAAAGATAATCTTCAAAACAATAAACATATTGACTAATTTCATGCATACTTTTTTAAACAAAAAAAAATTCTTGCAAGCTAAAAAGCTTCACAGAGGCTTTCCTGACATAGCAACAACTAATAAATGCAAGTATACATTTAATTGGAAAGTGGATTCTATCCAAAGAGATGCCATTATTAATAGCAGGTGGATGAAATGACTGGTATCCAAGGATTATAAATGAATTACATTATTAAACATGTCTATTGATTACTAATAGAGATATTGCAGGGATTCTACTTATACAGACATAAGTGGTATTATCCAAAATTCAGTGAATTTCTTTCTTGTGATCAGCAAACAACATGGAATTTAATTTTGAAGAATTATCTCTAACACTTGCTTTCTATGATCAAAATTAAGCAAATTTCTTTGCTACATACCTCTTTGATATCGTCCAGTCTCAGAACCTTCTTGCTTGTGAGCACACAATGAAAACAGCACACGGGAACCTGAAAAACAAGGCGGTAAGAGAAGAGAAAAGAAAAGATTTACACAAACATGGAGATGATAGAGTGGGACTAGATACATCTAGGAGTTCAATAATTGCATTAGTATCGGCACTGCAGGATTGCGACGGTCTACGGTTTCCCCGATAAAGTGTCATTAAATCTCCGCTGGACTCCACGGGGAGGTCGCAGTAGAATGGATATTGTTGGCATGTAATTGTTTGTGCAACTGAGCATCGATCCCGTGGGAATCTCTTCACACCAACATTACGAGCCGTTGAAACACGGTCGCAACTATTTTTGAAGAAACGTCTCAAGGGCAGTTTCGATACCCTGTCGCGTATCCAAGGCATCATGTTCTGATTATGTAATAAAACATAGTCATGTTCTCACATTTCAAAGGTTGACGCACATGACTACTGAAATTTTCTTAGGTTGATTTTTCAAAAATAGTTGCGATCATGTTTTTAATAATTTGCATGAAATTACTCAAGACTTCAATTGTAAATTTATGTTGTACGACTATGAAATCATCACTAAAAATCATGGTGTCTTAACAACGGATTGGACAATGTTGAAATGTAATGGTTTGTGGATCTGAATCCGGAGGGGAGGGGTGGTACTCATATATTAAGACATACTGGGGTGTGCCGTTCTAATGGGTCACTTTTTCACAAAAAATCTCTAAACATGGGTCCCACTTTTAACAAAAATACCATTAAAAATGGGTCGGTTTTTTCAAAATTTTCCCTAATAATGGGTAGGGGTTTCGAGGCTTGACCAGCACAACCCCGTCCAAACTAAATCTGAGTATCCCCCCCCCCCTGGATCTGAATGTTTTTTTTTGAGGTTCCCTCTCCGTGGGATGCTATACCCAACCTTAAAGGGATTGGATATCTTTGCCTCAGATTCTGAAATAAAATCCTGGATTTAGCTCATGCTGCAATCATAATCATAAACCTTTAGGTCAGTCAGGAATCCCATGATTTTTACACGCCAATGGCCTCTCTGATCATCAAGATATCTATGATTGGTATTAGAAATTTCAGAATTTGTTTTCCTAATAGTTTTTATTACACTACAGTCTATTGGGAAAATGAGTATGGTAAAACCGGTCACTCAAAGATTTTTACCTTTTTGAGGCACTTCATGATCATTTTGAAGCGCAATTTTTTTAGGGCTTCAATATTATACCATATCAGAGACACTGATAACATGTAGGGCCATGCATCTCAGATTTAACATTGTTAAACGATGCCTTTCATGTAAAATCTTTAAATTTTTTTTAAAGGATGAAAAATAATAGGAAACTATAAAGAAAGAGAGAGATTCGAAGGGCAAACGAAATTGAACGATGCAATCGTGTTAGACACGGAGTATTCAGATAACTTTGTAAAATTCAGTGGATTCATCGATAAACACAACGCCAAGTCCTGTTTTACAACCCAGTCATCGACCCAAACGAGATGCTCTGAATTCCTATGCACGACCATGAACCGAGAGCTTTGAAATCCATAACTGAAATCAATTTCTCCCTAATTCCCCCAGATATGCCCAGGACGAGGGAGTTTCGTCCATGTTTACTCTCACAACCACGGCTAAGTGGGAAGGACTGGCGGAATCGGAGGTAGATTAGGACCCCCCATTTAACATGTCAATCCTTGTGCACTGGTCTCTATGTAAAGCATGAGAGAGAGAGAGAGAGAGAGAGAGGGAGGGAGGGAGGGAGGGAGGGAGGGAGGGAGGGAGAGAGAGAGGTGTGAATGAGTGAGTGTGTGTGTGTGTGTGAGAGAGAGAGATAGAGAGGAGGAAAGAGGGATGGAATAAGTGTGAGAGTGTTTGAGTGAGAGAGAGAGAGAGAGGGGATAAGCATGAGAGAGTGTGAGCGTGTGTGTGTGAGAGAGAGAGAGAGATGGAATGAGTGAGAGAGGGGAGAGAGAGAGAGAGATGAAGAGAGAGAGAGAGAGAGAGAGAGAGAAACACACAGAAGTGGAAAGGCAAGAGAGAAGATAGAGTAGAGAGGGTCAGAAAATTACAAGAGACATGGACAACTAAAACAAATATACAGACGAATCAAGGGAGAGATAGCAGAGAGACAGAGGCAAAAGTGAAGGAGAGATATTTAAAAATTTGAAATTTAAAACTAGGTATAAGGAAGGTAGAGATAAGAGAAAGAAACATAAGGAGAAAGAAAAAAAGGTGTAAGCGTAAGAGGGGGAATGATATGGTTACCCGTCAAGTCATGACATTAAATAGATTACCTAAACCCCGCCTCCCCCCCCCTAAAAAAAAACAATTTAAATAAATAAATAGATAAATAAAAAATAATAAATACATAAATTGGTCAAATTTTCACTCATTTTCCCTGCAACTGACCAATCTCCCTGTCCAAGAAAAGGGTGTGTGTAAGGGTGTGTGTAAGTGTGTGTGTGTGTGTGGTGGGAGGGGGGCACGCTCAGGCAACATGCAAATCTCTGTTGAGGCAGAAACCAAAAATCAATGGGAGGCTATAAGGCAGAGTGCTGAACATACATCGGCACAGTCTGCCCATGTAATCGATAACCAGAATGTTGTTTCGTCTCTCCCCTTTCACCCCCCTTCTTCCCTTCCGGCCACAGATCTGCAAGTTTAACCCCCATGCTCTAGAAAACTACAAGCAAAGAGGGATGGTCTAATCTGTTTTGTATCACTGGATTGCGTCAGAGCTTATAACAACTGCTCAACTGTATTGGATTTTTTTTCCCCTTCTCCGTTCACTTTCTCTCTAAATCACAGGTCAGTGGGTAACTTTCTGTTTTCACATCGTATTACATCACATCTGGCATTTCAGGTCAGAAACTGAATCTTCTGTCTTCTGTAGAACTTGCCTTCTTTTCCCCTTCTTCTACTTGTAATCTTCAAAGGGCTCCCCAGCCCATCTCATGGATCTGTATGTAGATTACCAGTTGCGAATGCAAAATTGTTTGGAACCAGTAACCTTGACAACTTGGCCAGTATAAGACATCACACTTGAGTACTCTTTTTATCTGCAGTCAAGATACGTGTACTGACTGAATAGGCGTTTTTGAAATGTAATCAAATTTAATGCACAAGTCTTTGTTAATCAATTAAGTGCCCCTTACAAATTAAATTTTCATTGATCTGTTACAATAATTGTATTTCAATACCGGTAGTCAGAATGCAAATTGTATATATTATGTGTTGTTAGGTAGGGAAAGCCATACTGTTTGTTCTACCTAGCAACATATATTGTATGCAACTTGGGTTCTGACTATTGAAATACAAGAACGAATAACAGTTGAATGTTATAGCTTGATGCTAGGTAATAAACATGTATAAATTTGAATACATTTTGAAAATGATTTATTCCTAACTTCAGCTTTGGACTCTGACCCTAATCCTAAAAGGTCAATTATGCAACAATAACCATATGTCTAGCAAAATAAACTCAAACTCATACAAGCAAGTATGATCACCCCAAGAATAATTACCCCATATTTCTCTTTTCTTTTAACAATCATTTTCAATGGTTTTTGATAATTTAACCTGTAGGATCAAAACTAATTATGATATTTCATGCATTTCCCATGCCTTCAGTCCAAGTGTTCTATTAAAGGGCGTAACATCTAGCAGGTGTAGATGTAAAATTGTTCCGGGTAGAAAGCTATGCACTGCATACACTGCCTGCATTTTGAAATATGATGCTAAAAGCTTTTTCACAGATGTGCATTTATTTCATCGCACAAGATAAGGGAAATTCCCTAAATTTACTAATACGTACAGACATTAAAGCTGCCAACTCAAATCCCTATGCTTTATACAAGAAAGTACTGAAAGTGATTTATGGCCATGTCAAAGTGGTTACGCCGAAGGCACAATTATGGGTTTTTTTCTCACAATATTTCAGGAGTGTGAGATGATGTATTTGCAAAGCTGTTTGTTGAATATCTAATGAGTGGAAACCGCATCAGTGAATGCTCATGTATCATAAATTTTCAGTTTCTAAATACCTCCTACCTAGCTTCCCCCTAAAAAATGTGTTTGAAGACAAATATTGTTAAAAGAATACATAATTTGGGTTTTTTGTTGTACGCAGAAAAGCTAAATTTTGTATTCTTTCATCAATATTCAACTTCAAACACATTTGTTTTAAAAATCCTTGCAAAAATGTGTCTATAATGACATCCTCTTTCACATTATGATACAGTTTAAGTGAAATTTTGCCATCAAACTTTAGAGGGGCTTTAGGCTTCCACATTATTCAATGTCAATAGTTGACAGTTTTTCTAGGAAGAAAAAACATTTAGGGATGTCTCTTCTTGCATTAAAAGACTATCCAATACAGGCAACTCAATTTATTTCATGACTGTATACAAAAGTCAAATAGTATCTTTAATTTAGAATGGAGACTCTCACAAATTAAACCTAATAAAAAAGAAAGACAGAGGCAGTTAGGAAATCCTTTCAACATTCCTGCAAGCGATATAATCATGCCTCAATCACGGTCCTTAACGAGAGTGGGAGAGAACCGGAGCCTGGTCAGACTAGACGAAAGTTACGGTATACAAAATTTGTATAAAGAAACGTTGTAAAAAGAAACGTTGTACAAAGGCTTGTTGTACAAAGAAACGTTGTACAAAGAAACGTTGTACAAAGAATCGTTGTACAAAGAAACTTTGTTTAAAGAAACGTAGTGTAAAGAAATGTATGAAGAAATGTTTTATAAAGAATTGTTTTATGAAGAAAGGTATGAAGAAACATTGTATTAAGAAATGTTGTATAAAGGAGTGTTGTCTAAAGAACTTTGTATAACTAAACGTATAAAGAAACGTTGCATTAGGAATCATTATATATTAAAGAAAGGGAGTACACAAGTGACAAAGTATTGTCTAAAGAAACAGGGCATAGAGAATGCAACTTTGAAGAGGTTGGTTGTCATGTGTTTAATGTCGATCAGCCGGCCATTCATCAGTGCATGCTCATGATAAACCCTGCCCAATATGACGAAAAATCCACTTGCTACTGAACTCATTCATTCCCATAGGCTTTACACAGGAACCACTCTGTACTAGTAGTCAATGGGCTAATGATGTTCAAAAACAAAAGTGAACCATGATTCTCTATCAAGTATTCATTCGAAACTATACACTCAAAACCTTAGTTTTCCTTTATGTTTTTTATATACGCCATTTAGACTAGACAAAATTAATTGCCTCTTTTATACACATGCATCTATAGGGTTTTGTAGCTATACGATAAAATTTGTTAGTCTGAAGAGGGGATAATGTGTGTTAGAAGCCTACCGTCTCCTAAAATCCCATCGCATTGGAGCGTGACGTCAAGAGCTAACATTCCATAAACAACTAATTTTCTCACTGGATTTTCCCCTAAGCGAGCTGGCACCATTGCAATAATGCAACTTAAAATGTGAATGATTTTGTAGAAGAAGAAGAAGAAAGCCTCTGAAAATAAATCCTCTGTTTCTCTCTGTCGGGATGCTGGAGGCATTTTGATTCCTTTTATGGGGAAGACGTGATTTCAGCAGATGGGTTTTCCTCTCGAGAGGCTTCGGTTAGATGGCGATAGGATGCTATGTTCTGATGAGTTTTTTTCTGTATGGTGGTTGGTTTTCAATGATGGTCCCTAGATAAGGCCATGTGGTTGTGTAGTGTGGTATGTTTTAGGGTGACAACTCAGATGAGTGTAATACTATCTTACAACTTCAGGGCCTGTCGATTCTCACTGGTAATGATGATGATAACTATAATGATGAATCGTTCCCAAATCACTCCCTCTTGATAATGTGTAAATGGCATTGAAACATGTTGTTGCAGGTTAGACCTCAACGATATATGCTAATGAATCTCCCGCAATGTTTTAAATATTGTCTTGTTGGTTTGTTTTACCCGACTGTTTGGAAGCATGTGTATGCTGGTAAGTAAAGTGACCAATAGCTTTATGTCCTCTCCGAGGGACTTGGTATTGAGTAGTAATACCTTACCAAAGGGCACTATGGCGCACCGAATTGGTTTTGAAACAAACATTATTCATTTATCTTACATGTACATCTACTTCCCCTGTTTATTCCCTTCTCTTTTCCTTTACCAACTTCTTTCATCTGTGTTTCTTATAAATTTCTTTAACCAGAACACAGCTAGGGCCTTACTACCCCAAACCTGCATGGAGTCTCATCAGACTCGAATACAGCCCCATCATCCCTGTAACATCAATATCTATAGCTATTGGCTATAATTCCACTAATTCTCTCCTCGTCCTTCCACAATTCCAGGCAAGTATTTGATACAGTGGCAGGTGACAGGCAGGCATCTTCATCTTTTTTCTTGCTCTACACCCCCCTCTTTTGATCGTTTCTTGCTTCGTTCCGATGGTGGTTGTAAATAAGATAAAATTTTCTCACTTTTCTTTTCGTTGTATAGCGGGCAAATGTAAGCACTATTTTATTATTTTATGGAATGAACTATTGTGAATCTTTAACCACATGCAAAATTTGCAAGTGTTTCATGCACAAAACTTTTAGTTTTATAGCATCTTGTCTGGGACCACCTTTTTGTGCTCCAGAGTTTGTGTGTGTGGGTGTGTGGGGGGGGGGGGGGAGGCGGTCAATACGCTACTGCTAGAAAGCAGTAGGCCTAGTAAAAAACATATAGAATGTTGTATAGTTTGATTACTGGCAATTAAAAAAATAGCAAAAAAAAAAAAAAAAACCCTATATAGACTAGACAAAAATTCTATAAAAATGTCACTTATGATTCTATATTCTTTCATAGATTATCTACAAGCAATAATCATAACAACAAGAACATAAATAACAATAACAATAACAACGACAACAACAACAATAATAATAATAAACCCTATTTCTATGGTGTATATATCATCACAAACATGCATTTCCAGGCGCTATTAAGGCACAGAATTCAAGGCAGCTGCAGAAATTAATTAATCCAGCTGCACATTGGATGGAATCATGGAACCCAAGTTGCTCTATTATCAAATTAGCTTACTTGACATCTTGCGGAACATGTTTTTCTCGGAAAACGGGGGTGCTAAAGTCACTCTGCGCCGTTCAAGCATGGCAACATCATCACCAGCCATGATGGACCGGACAGGCCCCCTCTAAGAGCACAGCTTTTTCTTGAAGGTGAGAGATTTCACACCCTGATGATGTAAGTTCCAGTATTCTGAACGTGTCCATCAACTCAAAGGGTTGTGCGCAAAAAGCATCTCTTTACAGAGTGCAGCGGACTTAGCGAAGGGTAAGGTATGAAAATAGAAAAACACATTTCACACTTCAACTAGCATTTTTTCATGAACTTGATGGCATGGCCTTGTTTTGGCTTTGAACCTTACGCAGTTCACAAAGTCCTTCAAAATCCTTCTGATCACATACAGTGCCTTGAACTATTCCTCATCAAAATACATCTCTTCTCTTATCAACCTTGACAAGCAGTGTCGCTCTGGTCACCGTTCATCCAATAAATCTACTCTAATTGTCCCTAAAAACCAAAACACTCAAGCGTTATGTCTCAGTAGCTCCCTAGGTGTGGAACAGACTCCCAAAATAATTGAAAGATTGTAATGATGTAGATCACTATCTTTAAGAGAAATCTATAAACACTCTTAGTGATTAGTGTTTTCCTGTTATATCTTTTGTTTTGTTATACTGCAAGCACTTCCAGAGTATTTTTGTTATTACATTTAATATCTTTGTTGTAAGTGCCTTGAGCACTATCTGGGTAAATATGTTGCACCTTATAATGGGCACATTATTATTATTATTATTATTAAAATCAGTAGAACCATGTAGAGTTTACATTTTAAAAAGGGGGTTAATAATACTACTCACCAAGAATCGGACTTCTTCTTCAAGGACCTTCTCTCCAATAACCTGTATAAAAAAATAACAAAAACATAGACAAAGTTTAAATCACAGACAACGCAATTGAAAGCATATCTGGTAGGGCAATCAGGAACTTTAAAATGTATAAGGTTAAAGGTAAAGACCGGTAGTGGTAAAATTGCGGTTCAAGGGTTTTGGGTGCAAAATATCCATTCAATATTGTTTACATATTGCCTTCAGAGGTTTAGATGGCAGTACTTCAACCTAACTTCGCAAAAAAACAGAAATATATGCCCAATTGTTCAATGTTGAAGTGTATTTGCAATATCTATCCAGGCCGGATTGATATGATAATATACCAAATATATCAATTAGTAGGCGGTTTCCCGGCAAAATTTGTATCATCCCATATTAGTCACATGATTGGTAATAAGAGCTTCCATTTCATTTTTTGAGAGGGGGTCGTTTCCAAAACTGGTCTATACCTTTAATAAGGATCAGGGAGTTTTGTTGTATAAAACAAATGATGCATGTTTTCATTCATTCAGTACAGGATCAATCTGCTCTTGTTGAGGCTGTATGCATCTAGCTGTTAGGCTTCCTACGATAGATGCATACAGCCTCAACTAGAGTGCAGATAGATTGCATAATGTAGTCATTTTGCATGCATCATTTCGAACTGTGGTTAAATTCTTATTTTTCTTATGTGTAAATGGGCCCATTCGTTATCTTAACACTTCAAATAAATCATACTTCCCAAACAAATATGATAGAACATGTATTATACTCAAATAATAACCAAAGAAAGATTAAACCATTTCACTGCGATTGCAAAAAACAGCCAAACATATTGTATGATATTAATATTTGTCATTTCGGATGATTCAAGGTCAACCTCGATTGCCTTGTTTGGGAATACCACACACCATATTAGTATTCTGAATTGTGCGCTTAATCTATTATTCATTTCAGTGGCTGCCATTATAATGAATGCCACTACATTCTCTGTGCAGCCTACATTTGAATCAAATCAGATAAATTAAAATGTAATTGGGACTGTTTAGGACTAAAAAGGTCAACAAATACACACATACAGAGCATTTTATTAGAACGACTAAACCACACACGTTGGTAGAGCTTGTTTACAACAAGAGCAGCGTATGAAGAATTGCAATAATCAATTTGAGTTATGACATTGACTCCTCATCCACGTCATACATCAATCATCCCTGCATGGATGTGAGACCATTTTTCAAGGGTAACCTACGTAGATGTTATTCTTTCACAATTCAAACTAATGGATACATTTAGAGACAAATATTCAAATCGAATTACACGACGACATGACGCGGGAGCAGCGTCTAATCGGAGCCCGGAGACTGCGTCACGGTGACAGTCTGATGGATGGATGGGCGGTAACCCCTTCCCAAATCTTGACTATGTTCCACAAACGCCTCGTAAGAGCACCTCTCGAGGGCCGTAGAGGAAACGTTAAAACCCTAATTGAGTTAGTGGTGGAGGGGGGGGGGGGTTTGTCCCGGTGTGGCTGTGTTTATTTAGCATGTCAAGGGGCGTGCAACGGCTACGAGATGGCGTCTACTATTACGGTCAACGCTTTCAGTCCAATTCGAGGGTCCACGGCTCTTACAACGCACTCAGAGGCAGCAATCATTATCATCCCAAGCAAGGGGAAAATGCGTTCTCTAAACCTGACCAACTAACTGTTAATGGCTAGGGGGTGTTCCAATTTCTTCAAAAAACACCTTAACACATCATTATCACGTTATACTTACCCCTTTTGTTTGGAATACAATCTTGTTAAAGCCAAATGCAAACCCCTAAACTTTTGCGATTGTAAAAAATAACCAATTTCACTGCAAGAAGAATTAACCAATTGCAAAATTCAGTGCTGTGTTAGTTGTGATATCATTATTTTTAATTAGTTTACATCATGAAACTTTGCAAGACTGGGACACTCGCATAATTCACAAATCTTTAAATCTTGCAAATTTTTCAGGTCTTATAGTAAGGGCATTGAGGGTAACCCTTTAAATCCATTTGTTAAATTTCTTTAAACTCATTTAAACAATCAATGGTAAGAGTCTGATTTCTTCTAACAACTGCATGCAAACATTATTTTTTATAACGTCAGAGTTGTTGGGGCCACACTTACCCTGTTCCATATGAACATATCCCTGTACTATATAAACATATCCCGGTACCATATAAACATATCCCGGTACCATATGAACAAATCCCGGTACCATATAAACATATCCCGGTACCATATGAACATATCCCGGTACCATATAAACATATCCCGGTACCATATGAACAAATCCCGGTACCATATAAACATATCCCGGTACCATATGAAGATATCCTGGTACCATATAAACATATCCCGGTACCATATGAACAAATCCCTATTGGTGTTTTTCAAAGTGAGAGGCTTTCAGTTTCAAAATGTTGTTTACGAGTATCTCATCAAAACGATTTCCAAGAATTTCTATTTGCTAAACATAGCCTACAATCAATTATAATAACTTCATTCACATTTGAAATAGTGTGTTTCATATGTTCGAAGGTACCAGACTCGATAGCATTCATATGATTTACTAGTTCCTTTTATCCTTTAATGTTAATGTACCAAATTGTTTGTACCAAATTGTTTGTACCTATTTTAATATTTTTATAAATATTGGATGATAATTTTCATCTTCAAAATCTTGTTTTGATGTTTGACCTCATAACCAGAAATGAGATTATTTTCACAGTGTGGACCCTTCTAGGACACGGTCAATACCTTGTTTCAAGCAGTTTAAACACAACCCAATGCTTGAAGCATGTTTTTAGATTGGACACAAGAGGCTTTCAGTTTTTAATTGTTGTTTATGTGTATTTTATCCAAACGATTTCAACAAAATTTCCATTTGCTAAATATGGCCAACGATCAAGAATATTTTTAATCACATTTAAAAAAAAAAATTTATGGTTGAATTCACAACCAGAAATGAGATCATTTTCACAGTGTGAACCATTCTAGGGTATGGTCAATAACTTTTTTCAAGCAGTGTAAACACACCCAATGCTTGAAGCATGTTTTTAGGTTGGACACATGAAGGAGCTAGGTGCCAAACTAATGGCGGAGTCGGGTTACGGCGTTTAGGCAATTGGGACGATTACAATTCTGGACACGACACACACACAAATCTCACTCCGCTAGAGCAGGACAGTGGGTGTATTTGCTTTGCTTTCCAAAATAGCGTGGCCAAAAAAGAAGCACTTGATGGGCAGAGACGTAAATCCTGTGTTTACTTAAATAAAGATGCTTGAAAACGTTGGGGGAAAACACCTAACAAAGAACATAGTTTAAGTGTTCAATCTTTCACATACTAATCGTGTATTTTGGACTTGTATTTTTGTATTCACATTTTGTGTATTAGTTTGTAGGTTTTTGTATTTCCGCAAATTAGGAAAAAGAGACATACATAAATGATATATCACCAAATTAGACATTATTGTAGAACTATTTGCTCCATACAAGTATGTAAGCAGTGGAAGGGGATATATGGATTTGGCCTTTAATTTCTTACTGCTATGGACGTTAAAATAAAAAGCACCTGGGATTTTGAATTTTCAAAATAGGTGCCTAACTGTACTACACCATATTCCTTCTTCACTTACATCTAATTTCATACGGTTACTAGTTTCATTGTCTCTCATATAACCATTACTAATTTCTCTGTCAATCTCCTGGCCAGGAGTTAAAGGGATAGTTGAGTTTTCTTGCAGAGGGTGCTACACACACATAAAAAATTGTGAGATAATGAAAAACTGAGTGTCAAAGATATACAAATATTCAATAATTTAAACCAGCCGTTGAAAAACGAAACAGCGACTTTTACGTTTTATTTCAGCAAATGCCGATGTTGGCTCTTTGTTGGCTTTTTGTGTTGGTTATGACATATATGCACAACCAGCCGGCCCATGTATTATTATCATTAATTAATCAATAAATTAAGGGTCACCATATTATTTTAAAGTGGAGCTGAATTGGTATGATAGTATTGGCTAAATTTCACACATTTTGGTGTCTAAAATTACCTTCATAGCAATTTTAGGTCCTAAAAGGGCACTAGAAATGTCATAAATAAGAATAAGAGCAATAACCATGCACAACAAGAACTCAACTATCCCTTTAAAAGATGAAATGCATTTGTATACGCTGTTTTTATACTGACCTGGCAATTGGCATTAGCTTTTATGTGCAATGATGCATTAAACCTATTTAGAGGAATTGTTTTGGCACAGCTAGCTCTCCTTTCTCACAGAGTTGAAGCAAATATCAAGGTTCAGAGTGTCTTTAAGATACTAGGTCACTCAATTTGCAAAATCACCCGAGTGTAAAACTTAAAGGCATCGTTTAACAATGTTAAATCTGAGATGGATGGCCCTACGTGTGATCAGTGTCTGTGATATGGTGTAATATTGAAGCCCTGAAAAAATTGCGCTTCAAAATGATCATGAAGTGCCTCAAAAAAGTAAAAACATCTTTGAGTGACTGGTTTTACCATACTCATTTTCCCCAATAGACTGTAGTGTTATAAAAACTGATAGGAAAACAAATTTTGAAATTTGTAATTTCAATCATAAATATCTAGATAATCAGACAGGCTGGTAAAAGTCATGGGGTTCCTGACTGACCTAAAGGTTTATACTTATCATTGCAGCATGAGCTAAATCCATGAGTTTGTTTCAGAATCTGAGACAAAGATACCCATTCCCTCTAACTCTAAACCTGCTTTGGTCGACTTAAAGTACAAAGAGTGCAACGCCACAGTTGACGTTTATCATACATACAATGTGCATGTTACACTTACTCCAAATGATGTAGCAAATAAAGGGTATACAAAGCCTATGTGTGTATGCCAACTATGAATCCAGCTACAAATTCAATAGAAATATATCAGAAATCATGAAATGTTATACTATTGGGCAAATTAGTCTTTCGATACACGAAACAATATGGGACATCCCAATATGCTTTTTCATTGAAGAACTTAGTGACCTGTAATTAATTTCTATTGTCCCGAAACCTCCCCTTTCAGTAAACACGACCATTTTTCAATTGATTTTTTTTCATATCCTTTCTCATTACCAGTGACTGGCTAACAGCGCAGCCTCCCATTGTTTGACCCAGACAATATTAGACAGACAGAATTTTATCAGCCAATATGAGAATATCTTGGATTTTAATTAAAGTATTTTGATAGAAGGAGTGGCAGTTTCAAAATGATGGCAAACAAAAATTTAATTTCAAAGTGAAACAGCACATTTATCAACAGATTTTTCATCTTGCAACATACAGGTTCAAGTGCTTTATAATGAGATGTTTACATCACCTTTGATCAATGTACAGAGAAAAACATGAATGTTACTTTGTTTTAAACAAAAATGAAACCCAGAGTTAAGTACTGCTAGCTGTGAGGACTTGTTTTAAGATTAATGATTAAAGATTATTAAATGAAAGTTGAGTCGGTTTTGAAACAATGGGAAACTGTTCTCCTGACATGTTTCAAACATATATTATGCAATTTTTCCAATTATTTTAATGATTAACTCAAGGGATGTCTCATGTTGAAAGTGACAGCCTTATTTTAACCACTACAGAATAACCTAGTTTCTAATCTGGTATCATATACATGTACATAATTTTAAAAGAAAAGTCTTGAATTGCTATGGCAACCATTGGTGCTTTTAATTTTGTATTAAAACAAAAACATTCCCATAATTTCTAACTTCAAAATTCTAAGCCCATTTTTTAATTAAAGAATAGCAGTGACGTTATTCTGTCTATGCATTTAAATGCAATTTCATAACCTAGGCATAAGTCTCATACTCTGTACAGAATGTGAACAAAATATTAAGTGAATTGCCAGCAAAGCTTTTTGCCTCGCTCAGTACAATGGGTAGATACCTTGATATAAAATTATAGATGGGCAAGCCCATTAATACAGTGTCCCTTTTACATGAAATATGAAGGGGGGAATATAATACAGATGAAAACAACAACATTATGACAAAAGATCCTATTTAAGCGATAATTCTCATCTTACTTTGATTAGTACTCTACTCACTTGTAGAGCTTCCCACAAAAAACACTTTTTCTTTTATATAAATCACAATATCACTTCAAATCCAAACAAAAAATAATATATGGTGCACAGTACATACATTTATAAGAATGAATGAAATTGGACTCTGCCATTTTTGACCTGTAACTGAACCCATCACAGAAGAAGCCCTACTTTCTAATCCCACTCTCTTAATGCAGATAATACCCCTCTCTCTTTAATTATTTCCTTCCTACGATGGGTACTTCATTAAATTAATCAAGAAATGAGGCCGACTTAAGACGGCATATCTCGAATTTCAAGAGAAGAACGTAAGGACAAGATAATGGGCTGGAAGAGGGGGGGGGAGGGGGAGGGGGGATGAAGAGGAGGATTCGAGAGGTTATGTAAACAACATATGAAGAATCAGAGGAGTAGAGATTCGATCAAAGAATAAAGAATGATAAACTATGAATGACATGTGAACTGCTTGTGAACCTGTCCTTTTTCCAAGTACCCAATAAAAGACGGACTATTGTAATTAAATTACGAGCACAAAGAAAATAGTAGGAGGGTGCATTGAGCCTTTGACTGCTATGGTGGATTATTTTACAATTTGGTCCATCACTTTCTTATGGGTCCTTATTTTTATTGATAGAAAAACCTGTTCATTATTGAAATTATGTTGAGGTAATTTCTTGCTTGTTATATTCCATAACATGCACTTTTCTTCATGAAAATATTCACAGCTATTGAAGTTAGTAGATGTACAATAACATCCAGTAAAATAGATAGCAATTTTGTAAAAATTAGTAGTGGTGGTGGTGGTGGTGGTAATGGTGGTAGTGGTAATGGTGGTGGTGGTGGTGGTGGTGGTGGTGGTGGTGGTGGTGGTGGTGGTGGTGGTGGTGGTGTGTGGTGGTGGTGGTGGTGGTGGTGGTGATGGTGGTGGTGGTGGTGGTGGTAGTGGTGGTAGTGGTGGTGCTGGTATATCTGTCTTTTCATTAATGCTATCTCTAAACTATCCTTGAATAGCTGAAATGTTATAATCAGAATGACATGTATATCAAGGCTAATCTGACTACAATCCGATGTTTGGAAGACTTTGCAATAGCATTTGATATGAACATTCAAACTTCTAAATTCTTAGTGATTGATTATTTTAAAAGTCACATGATTTTAATATATGATTACATTTTCTAATGATTTTACGCTTCCTTGAAGAAAGAATAGCTAAATCGCCTCAGATAGATTTTAAAAATTTAAATAATATATAGTGATTGATTTTAAATAGCTACACATGAGTAATGTTAAGTATTACCAACTGTTTGAATGAATGATTGTAACGAATGAATATAATGTTATGTAATGGAGCTCGTGTATATGTACACACGCACAATTCAGCATTTTGGCTGCGAGGCATTGTTTTTTAATAAAACCATCATTGAATTGAATTGAATTAAATTGAATAGTAGTGACGGCATATCAGTAGTTTGATTGTTTGCAATTTGAAGCTGATTTGGATTTCATTCTGACTAGAAAGGTTTAATGCACTAAATTCCAGTTGTTAGCATTGTCATCATTACTTAGAACTTGCATCAGGAAGCTTTTCGTTTGATATAGATTGCTATATCTAATACAATTGCCATTTATTTGAAAATCACATGGCAGAAAGATCCTTTAGTATGCTATGTCTTAAGGCACCTTGGAAAGGCATGATTGATAATGTGCATGAAAATTGACAAATATGGTGAATTTGGGGAGATGAAACTTATCAAGCAAGACACCTTAAAGCCCCACTGTACTGCTTATAGCTAATTGCGCCCTCTAAATAGCAAACAATGACTAATTGGTGCCTGTTAGTCCTCCATGATCCCCTTTTTCTTATGTTAATTGAGAGCTGATTTGATGAGATAACCACCTGTCAGTGACCTTGCAGGGAGGTCTATTCCCCCTGGTCAAACAAGTGCAGACAGGCTTTAAGGGAAACCTAATTTGCAATTTATGTTCCCATATACCAGCATTGGATCTTCAGAATACATTCTTTTTTTCCTCCTCAATACAGTCCATCTGGAGGCATTCCAGACGAGCCTGTCGAAGCAGAGCTATCCCATACTGCCAAAACAGATATATCGCTTGCAGCGGAGTGACCCGCGGCTGCGAAAACTGTCTGCTCGCGACAGACGGGAAGTGTGAGGTGGATGCCGTTACGCGCCAACGTGTGAGAGTGATTGGTCAGTGAGTAGGACGAGTGTGACAAGCGAGTATGCTCAGCTGTCTGTGCTGCAACGCAAGGAGTTTGTCTTCAAACACTCTGCCTTATTTCAACATGCCGCCGCCGCTGCGCTTGCCTCACTCGATCCTCCATGAGGAGGTGTTTTAAAGGTAATCTTGTATTTTGGAAAAGCATGATGCTCAAACAAAACTGCAGTAAAATCACTCCAAATTATCAATCATGCAGTAGACACTATTCTGGACGTTAAAATTTGATGGACCTGCAAAATTTAACAGATAAATTTAACAGAAAGACAACTTGATGAAAACCAAATATCTTACAAAGCACCAACATGGATATGCACATGTAGGACAATGTATGACATAATACCAACAAACTTGTTTTCTTACCTTTTTCTTTCTCTGCTCATCACTCAGCAAATAATACATTTCTTCTTAATAGGCAGTTTTGTTCATGTTCTTGTAAGTTTCAAGAACAGTTTTGTGTACGATAATTTCTTTCTTTTTCCCCTCCATCAGAACTCAAAATCTCCTTTTACCTTTGATGGCAGGTAGCTTACCAGTTGAAATCAATGGTAATCAACCAGAATCATACATGATACAGCAAATATATATTTAAAAAGAAAATTTACAAAAAGAAAAACTCACCTGACAGAATAGTTCATTTGCATCTTCTGAAACCACTAGAAGTGTACAGCATTCAGAATTGGTCTGTTTCTCAAG